CTCTTTCCTGCCTATGCAGGGGGTCGGACTCGATGATCTATTGAGGTCCCTTCCGACCCTAACATCTATGAATTTGCACAGACCAGAAGCTTCCAAGGGCCTGAGCTCTCTCATGTGCATGCATGTGTGTACGCATACACAGTGGCTGTGAACAACAGGATCTTAGCCCCAACTGTTTCTTCTGGATCAATGGTTTTCAAACAGTAGGCTGTAGTCTACCAGTGGGCCACAACAACAGAGCAACCAAATCCCACTAACACCATCCACCATTCCCCAAGTCAGACCATTCTCCAAGTTCAACACCAGTGCAGGAAGCAGTGGAGTGCATGTTAGTTCCCTTTCAAGTATTTACTATGTAGAATAACTGTCCAGGCTTTTCAGAAATGCCGGAAGCCAAGATAGGCAAGGATGGTGATGAGCTGCCCTTAGATGTGTTGACCTTATGAAACACTTGTTGTCCAGTTTCTTCAGATTATAGAGCACCTTTCTTCACTGGACTCTCCATTTCCCATTCCTGTCCACTAGTAGAATTAGATGGTGTTTACATCCTTCAAAGTGCATTCTGTTCTCCAGTGGCTAGTGGGCTTCCTCCCTACTTTAACATGAAGCTAACTTCCACATTCAAATATACCTTATACCTCAGGAGGTAGACAGGCATAATAACCTTCTCAAAGTGCACCTTTTTAATCCTTCCCCACCCCAATTCTGATCTCTAGACTGATACTCTATGGACTGGATTTTTAAAGCAATGGGTTGTATATCACCTTGCTACAGGGAATCAACTTTATTCTTTTGCATTTCACTTCCATATCAATCCAACTGGGTCAACTTCAAGCCTAATCAATTGCTGATGAATCATTCAACAAGTAATTCTTCTCCAAAGGAAAAAACCTTTCCTCACCTGATTATTGCAAGTTTTAGTACAGGGCTAAACATGAATAATGAAATACAAGTTAACAGTTCTATGCCAACTTCAAGTTTGTCCTGGCTATTTTGAGAGCACAGAAGAATACTGAATTATATTTCCTCTTCCTTCAAAGCACAAATACTAAACTAAATTCTCTCTCTCTGAAAACAAAAAACAAATCAAAACTGGGGGTAGACAGAGGCAGAAAAAATTTAAAAAAAAAGAAAGACGTTCTACTGGTTCAATTCTTCTGGATACCCAACAACTTGTCACTTTTTTACCTCAGAGGTTGTCATAGAGTTTTCATCTGTGCAGTGTCAGTATAAGGTAGCATACTAGCGACTCAACTTATTTACCAACTTTGACCATGGCTCACACTTTGAAAGTAAAGCTACCGGCTCCCCCTGCTGGTTTACACATCATTTTTGTGTATGACTTCGCTGCAGAGTCAATCTGAACTCTCTCAGGCATTGCCAGTAAACCAGCACCAATCTACGTAAAAATCAGTTTGGTCAATAATCTTGGCTAAATCAGCTAACACACGAGAAGAGATTTTTACTTTAGCTGGCATAACCTATCCACTTAACAGTGTGGATGTAAGCTAAACCATTTAAATAGTTTTCTAATGTCTTCCTAGAATTCAAGGTGTGCCTAGGACACAAGCCATAATTCACTAAGAAAGAGTAAGAACGGCTCATCTTACTGCAGTTCAAAGAACCATAAAGCAGGGCGTGAGAAACCCCAACAAAGTGTTCCATCCAAACTACCTCAAATGAGGGTTTATAGGGCAGTTGCCGACACCTAGCCTGAGCACCAATCACCAGGTTAACGCTACAGCACAGGCACATCCTTACACCTGAAGCAGTAGCATGCCACTTCTCTGTGCTTTCCACATTCAGTAGTCATCTGTCCTATCACAGTTATGGCCCAGGCCTATACTGAAAAATCTAAACTGATGCAAAAATAAAATGCTTTAATGAGGTCTTTGTGATACTACAAAATGGCTCACAAATATGTTGTGTAAGAAACCCATGTGATTCAGGGTTTAAGTACACAATGAGCAGGCCATTATTACTTACAGTAATAACCAAAACATCTAGAGACCCACTGTGACCCATATCAGCAAACATAGAAAAGGCTGACTGACTGTCTCTAGTCCAAAGAGTTTGCACTCCATAAAAAGAGGTAAAATATGGATGCAGAAATGGGAGAACAAATAAAAAACAAACTGTGTGACCATATAGAATGACATTATGTGCAACATTCTCAACATACCACCATTAGCTTTTCCTGCAGCTCCTCATATTCATATCTAGGTGATATTAAACACAAGTTCTTTGATTTTATTTGTAGACTGCTCTGGCAACATCACATAATCAGGCTTGGTAGAAATCAGATTACTAACTTTAAACAGAATCCAGATACGTAACAACTACTTGTACAACTCTGGAATGCCTGCTGCAGTTTAAAATCGCCTAGACCACTTTCTCGTTCAGCATGGCACTCTTCCCAACGCTTGAGATCCTTTCTTGTTGACCCTCTCTCACAAGTTTCTAAATTCAGTTTGGTGTTACAGGAAATACTAAGAGAAGACATAAGATAAAATCTTGAAAAGTGTTGAATTGCTAATTATGGTATTCTTTATCAAAGAGGCCTATGCAAAAGCACAGCCGCTTTAATACAAGCAATTAATGGTGGCTCACACCGAAGATTCCCAGGGGCAGTCTGAACTAAGATGACCTATGCCACACATCATCTTGAAACTAGTTAACTTACCAGCAGAAAGTCATACTGAGCACCTGAACATCACTTGAACACTACTAGGCTTACATGATTAATCTTTCTATGTCCTGCCCCCTGTAGCCACTGCAGCTTCATAGAGTCATAGAAGTAGGGTCGGAAGGGACCTTGTAGATCTTCAAATCCGACCCCCTGCCTGGGCAGGAGGGAAACTGGGTTCAAGTGACCCCAGCCAGGTAGGCATCGAGCCTCTTCTTAAAGACCCCCAAGGTAGGAGCCAGCACCACTTCCCTTGGAAGTTGGTTCCAGACCCTAGCTGCCCTAACTGTGAAGTAGTTCCTACGGATGTCTAATCTAAACCTACTCTCCAGCAACTTGTGGCCGTTATTCCTTGTTATCCCAGGGGGCGCTAGGGGAAACAAGGTCTCCCCCAAACCCTTCTGGTCCCCCCTAGTGAGTTTATAGATGGTCACAAGGCTTCCTCCCTCACTGTGGCTTTCTGTAACACGTGTATACAAGAACAGTACTACTTTACTTCCCATGCCAAGATAACTTTCTACAGACAATATCCTTATGTACACCCTCTTGAACTAATTCAACCAATACACTTTTTCCCAGGACACACACAAGAGTCAAATTGAAAAAATGTATATTATGATCTTGACTTAAGAGACCTCAGCTAGGTACTATTGACTACAGCCAATGGACAATACATTGCAGAGGAGTCACTGATCAAAAGAAAAAAAAGCTTACAGTACAGCTGTAACTAGTCAGTTCTATATATAAATAAGGAACTGCTTCTGAATTTGCAGGAGCTGGTCTGTATTTCTTGTGTGAAGCCTCCTCAAAAGCATCATCATAAACAAATAAGAACATACACAGTTAATGACAATGCAATTAAACCAACAGCCACAGAAAAAAAAAACTGACTTATCAGAAAGAAGACAGAAAAGTTACCATTCAAAAGTACTTACTTTACATTTATCTCCAACTGAATATTGCATGCCAGCAGCAATGGAAAAATCTCGTTTTTGCTGATCTGTAAACATATTACCAGTAAAATTCCAAATTACAATTACTTCTCACCAAAAATAAAAACACTTTAGGCAAAGTAACAAAGTCTAGTTTGATTTTACATTCCTCCAAAAATAATCTGGGAACTAAAAGCTATCACTTAGACTCTGAGTCAGCAGGCTGACCCACGTGGACAGACCCCTGCTACTGCTCAGAGCAGTCTTGACTCTCATGGGACCTTGTTAGGAGCTGATGATCAACTTGCACGAATATGGCGAACTTACCCCGTTTGGACTGTTGCCAAACTTCATATTCAACATTTCTATAAACTGATGGGTTGAGCGATTTGACAACTTTTCTAGGCAATGTAAATGAGGTGGGATTTCCATTAGTCTTAAGGTGCTGCACAAAAGAGAACAAAGCAGCAAGTGAACACACACACACACTTATTGCATTTTACTAAACATCATACCACTCAAACTTTCAAATGAAACACAAAGCAATGGAGAACGCATCCAAGCATTAACAGCATGAAAGGTAAATTCAAGGGGATTTGCTTGAAACTCACAGTAACAAAGGGTGTTTATACGCATGGTCTAGGAGTGGGATTGGGGCGGTGCTTTAATTAAAGCAGCTCTGAAAGCCGCTCTAATTAAAATGTCAAGAGCGTCACTTGTATAAGCAT